CCATCTTTACCTTTAGCTTCTTTAATAAGACGACGATTATTTCTACCAGAAAATTGAAGTGAAAGAAGGAAAAGATTTTATGGTTTAGGAAAAATAGTCACATTGGAAATAATTTAGTTTTCTTGTTTTTATTACATATTTTGTAGGTCCTTTCTTTTTCATTTCTTTTAACAACATTCAACTCAACATCGCGAAAGCATAATGGTGTTTACAATAATATTAATCATAATAATATCGTGTTTAACATACAATATAGCGATATCATTATTTTAATAATCTCCTGATGCCTTTTTTCTCTTTTTTTTTAATACAATATCACAGAAAAAATCTGAATTCAATTTCAGTGGCGTACTGATGAATTTGATACGCAACAAAAATGAGCTCAGGTGTTTTCCATATATATTTATATATATAATATTTTTAATTATGTATACCTTCGCATTAATTCGTTCGTTAGTTTTTTATAACGATTAGACGAACAAGTACACGGTAATTCGTTTCTCTTAAAACTAGAGTCAAAATATTTTCACTGAGATTTTTTCTTAACCGTTACTTTTCTCGTCTTTACAATCGTATATTAATAATTTAATAATAATATTTTTGCAGTAGGATTCGCTATCTCACCGCCCTTATGGTTAATTTAAAACTAAACCCTAATTTATAACTATTAGTTTATAATTTTATATTCGCATATTTATATTCATATTTACAAAAAAACGTCCTTCTAAGCTTTTTTTCTGTTTCAAATATATATCAAACCGGTGTTTTTTTAATTACTTTATTTTGTAAATTCGTAAAAGAAAATTTTACGTTTTATTTTTTCGATGAAGGTGCAATAGTTCCAGATTGAATTAGAAGTTTGAGCTTTTCTTTAAAAGTGATTAAAAAAAATGTTCTCGAATCAAAATTTGAATATTTATTCCGATATGAGATTTTAAATTACAAAATAAATTTAAAATTAGGTATAAAATTTCTTACTTTTAGGATATGAAGCAATTTTTGAAATCTTTTATTAAAAGTTTAGTCTTTGGGGTTTTCTTTGGAATTATTTTCTAAATATTTGTCTAAATTTGAAAAATTTTATCTCTATTTTGAATTAGTAAAAAAGTTTATTAATTAGTCAGTGTTAGTAAATTTTATCAACAAATTGTAATTTCTATTAATTTATCAATAAAATACACTAATTCAAAAGCAAAAAATCAATCACTAATTCAAAATTAATAAACATTTTTAGTTTTTTACTAATTCAAATTTAGAGAGTTTGTAATTACACACTTTTTTTAGTTATGAAAACAATTTGCAATGTGTGGCTATATTAAAAATGTTCAATTAAAATTTTAATTTCGATTTGAATTAAAATAAATGACAAAATTAAAATCTTCAACAACAAATGAAATAAATGAGTTTAATATGCGCACAATTGCAAATTAAAAAGAAAATAAAATTACTTTTATATACCATTTAAGTATAAAGTCGTGTAATTTGACAATTTGTGGTTGGTATTATTCTGCTATTAACTTTTATTACTCTTATCACGTTTTTATTGCGTCGTATTTTCCACGAACTGATTACAAGGTACTTTACATTACTTGACGATTAGCAGAATCTTAACATACTTTTTCCAAAGCACAATAAATACATTATCAAATTTTCTAAATTCATAATTTTCTTGTGCGCTTGTAATGCAAATTTAATGCTTGGTTTAATGCAAATGAATAAATATTTAATCATATATAAAATAGGAAATAAATAAAAATTTATTAATAAATATTGCTTTTTGATTAGTTGAGTTAATAATAAATAAATTAATTAGGTATAAAACTTAATTGGAATTAATTTTTATAATTAGTTTTGATTACAAAATTTTCAAAAAGTTTAATTATTAAAACATTGTTTTTTAATTTCTTTTGCTTTATTTATATAGTCGAAATAATTAAATAAATAATAAGTAATAAATATTTCACTGAAAAAAAGTTATTTGGTTCAAATAACAGATTACTTGTAAATAAAAAAAATGTTTATTTAAATCAATTAAATTGTATTTAAACCAGGGACTCTTTCCAACACAAATGAACACAAATATCAAGTGTTGTGTTCAGAACACAAACAGATTTCAATAGTAAATTGAACTCGCCACATGTGTTTGAGCAAATGTGTTTTTTCGAACACAAACACATTTCAAAATTTGAATTGTGTTGTGTTCTGAACACAACACAATTTCAATATTTGAATTGAGTTGTGTTCTGATAACACAACACAAACTCAACACAAACGTTTGGTAACTGTCCCTGATTTAAAGCAATTATTTTAGTATTTGAAGAAAATATGAATTGAATCATTTAATTGACTCAAATAAAAATTATTTGATTCAAGTAAATATTTAATTGATAATAGTCGTTAAAAAATTATTATTATTTTAATACTTATTATTTTAATCGAATAATTTTTATTTCAGTGTAATAATCGAAAATTATGTTTATATAGTAGAAAAAAATCTCTTTTTACAAAACCCTAAATCCAAATTGTTATTGTTTTTAATCCATTGCAAATCCTTGAACTTTTGTATTGTCTCGAGTCTTAGACCTGTTGCACTTGAAAAGGTATGTTGAATAATACATGTTTGAAAGACTTTTACACTTTTTAGGCTTATGCAAGACTGGATTTTATATTCTTAATTTTTTTTTATTTTTTTATTTCTTTTTTGGAAATAAATTCAATTACTCAGAAATTAATTTTTTGTTAAATCATTTAAACTAAAGTTTTTAAAATTTTATTTGATTGATTGAAAATTGATTAGTGAATAACTCTTGAATTGTTCAATTTTATTTAATTGATTTTAATGTTTAATGCTCAAGTGTAAAGAGAAAAACTTTTGACTTTTTTTTGTAATTCTTGTTTGATTACTTTCAAGTTGTTAGATGAAAAGTTAAAGCCCTATAAAATTACAAACTTTATAGAGTTTAATGGTTCCAAAGTGAAAAGTACCGAATCTTTAGTGCTTTTAATCTCGAAAAATTAAACCTTCAAATCAAACTAAATAATATAATTTAAATTCCTCTCAAGGTGGGAAATAATAAAATTTTACTTGTCGAGAAAAATTTATCAATTAGTAGTAAAAATAAAAAATCAAATATCAATCTCTGCGAAACGAGTGTAAAATTGATGTCAAGTAATCAATACTAATAAAATTTTAATTCAAAATTTTATTTTCAATTAGATATACCCAAAAGGTGAGGGGAAGAAATCAAGAGAGCTCAAAAGTGTGAAAATAATTTGAATCTCTACATTATCTTTAAAACTTGATCAAAAAGCCTCATTTCTGAGATCACGTCATTGCAAATCGAAGACGTTTGCAAATTATAATATTCGACTTTTTAATATTCGACTCAGTCTTCACTCATTCCCTGCTTGCTTGAACGTCGTTTCGAACGAATCTGACATTTTAATCTGAAGTATCCAGATGGGATCTGCAATTCTGCAAGCAGAAGAATCAGAAAGAGGGTATGGGAAAAATGAAAAAGAGAAAAAAACGAGAGGGGTCGGAAAAAGTGAGTATCAAGAAAGACACTAAATAAAGGATAGATTGTGCTTTAGAGAAAAGAAAACTAAACGAGACGGAAAACTTAAATGTATTTTTCCAAAAGAAAATAGAGAAAAAAGAACTCATACACAAATTACACGACTTTCGATTTCTTATTTGTAAAATATGTATAAGATAATAATATGTATACAGAGAAACATTGAGCATAATCTTGTTGAAAATCACAAAAACTAATGCTATTTTCCTGAAAATGAGCTAATTTGAATTTTAAAATATTTCTTGCGACAGAAATCTTGAATTCTCTATTTCTCTGCACTTAATTTAAATGTCGTTTATTTATTTACTTAATAAAAAGTAAACGAGCCAAACATCGTTGTTCTATTTATCAAAGAAACAAATTTATATTAAAATTAATTTATTTATTAATTAGAAATTAGAATGTTTTAATAATTAGAAAATTTTGAAATTAATTTATACTTTAATTTAATTAATTTATACGGTCGTGAAGTTTATAACGTTTATAATTAACAGTTTGAAAGAAAAAATATTTTTCTATTGTAATTTTTATCTAAAAATTTTTTCTAACTATTTTTTCCATCTAAAATTCAAAAAATTAAATATTGTTAATAAACAATATTTTTTTGGCATGAAAAATATTTCTTTCTTTCAATCTATGAATTGACGCTGTATAAACGTTGTAAACTTCGCCCACGTTAATTAATTTAATTTTTTACCATCTTTTGTTTGTATTTAAATGGAAAATATTTTTGCTATCCGAATACAGACACGCATGATAAAACACAAGGGACTTTAAATATTTGAGATAAAAAAATATGCGCATAAACATTTTAAAAAAAATAATTTTTCGAAAACTATTTCTTCTTTTCACAACTTGGAATTCTTTTGAGGATTATATGCTTACTTTCGTTTCCTCGCCTTCTTGAAAATCTAGTTTTCTTTTCTTTTTCTTTTACTAAGTAAGAAAATGTTAATTTTGTTTTTGTAATTTAATTTTTTAAGTCGAAAGAGAGCTCTTTATAAACTGAAAATATTTGCTAAACAAAAAACTACTTTTCTGAATGAAATATTCAATTTATGAATTAAAATATAAGGAATTTATAAATGAAAATAATTAATTAATTGTTTTGCTTCTTAGGTCTCTTCGCGACGCTTCAAAATTTAATTAGTTAATTTGTTAATTAAATATATTAGAATCGTAAATTATTTAATTAATTAAATAAATTACACTTTGAATTAGTAAATTTTACTAATAAATTAATAGAAATTACTTAGTAAAATTTACTAATTTTAATTTAGAGACTATTTAATTGATTGATTAAATTATTAATTTTTTTAATTGACAAATTTAATTGTTTCATTATTTAATTAATTAATTAAATTATTTTATACAATAATAAAAAATTTAGAAAAAAATGAAATGAATAAAAATGTGAAGAAAACATTTTATACTGATAAAATATTGGAGAGCTTTATTTCTAAGTGACCTAGTTGTTTTGCCGCAGATCGACATGAAAAGCTCAGATTAATAAATATCATTGCTCATATATAAACAATCTCACGCACTTTTTCATTTTTCTTACATTTTCTCCTTTTAGCAGTGACACAAGTTTTGTGAAATATATTACATTAAAGGCTACAGTCGTTGCACTTTTGCAAATATTCAATCATTTATTAATTATTTGTTTTCATTTTATCACTTTTTTTCATTTACACACAAACATACATTCGTTTTATTTATTTCAAATAATTATTTGCAAGTGTCCACAATTGGTATCACGAAATCCATTTGTTGGCACGATTTATTTATAAACTGTAATGAATAGCACTAAATACTCCTGTCAGTCTTTCGTTTTCTTTTTAATTTTCCATTCTCTTTATATTTTTCTTTAAAATTACAGTTTATAATTATATTTAAAATTGTAACTCTTTTTTTTGGTGACACAGTTTTCTACTGGTTGAGCCGGAGAATGAGTAGTGTCAGTACAATAAAAATTCCAGTCGTTGTCAATTTCTCAGCACCAGCTGCAAAGATAAAAAAAATTATATATTAAAAGGTATCGAAAATCAATTTAAAATTTTTCTTTCGTTTTTTACCGGTATTTAAAAACTAGGATGTAAAAAGCTATATTCTTCTGTTTTTTTAGAGCTTTTAATATTTTTTTATATTACTTTCCATATTTCAGCAATCTATCTATGGTCGTTAAAAATGTGACATTTATTTCAAAAAAAAAAAATATATATATATATATAGTGTTCCAATGGTGATTGAAAAAGAAAATTAAAATATTTTCATCAAGAATTTACGATATTCACTAATTGACGTGAATTGAAAAAAAAATTAAATTTATTTCTTTTATTCGCTCATAAAAACATTTCCTTCTCTTTAATTCTATTTTTATTAATGAATTCGGATTTTAAAAATTTATCCCTGAGAAGATAGATAGGATTTTTTTTAAATCTAAATAAGGTTAAATTTACCTAAAAGCAGAAAAATGTTTAAAAGAAGTATTTAAAACCACTTTTCAAACGTGATGCTTTTTATTAAATCTCATTAAAAATTCTGATTACGACAACATATTTTTTATCGCTGGCTAAAAAAAATGAACGAGAATTTACCGATCCGTTTAGATGATAATTTTTTTTTCTTTTAATTACTAAGTTCATTTAAAGTTTCGGATGAAGTACCTTTTTTAATATATAAACTGCTAAAAAAACGTCAATTGCTAAAATAAAAATCGACGATTGCGAGCAAGTTGCACAGTTGATACAGCTAAAGCAGCATGGTGCCTGAATTTACGACTCTTGATTTTGCTCTTGCTAGCAAACGCGATACCCAAATCCAATTCTAGAATTCGCCTCACTACAGTTTCTAAAAGTGTTTTGACAAAAATTTCATCAACCACACATGTTTTTCAATTCACTTTATAAAAATAAAGTTTCGTCCGTTTAATTATTTTTATTTTCGGAAAAATAAACAAATGAAAATAATTGAAAAAATTCTGTAGAATAGAAATTGAATAAAACAATATAAATAAAAAAAATAAAATTGTAAAAATTCGAATTTGGTAAAAACTATCGATATTTGTGTAAGAAAATTACGTTAATTACGTTAATAAAAGTTCCATTTTGTTCCTTTATTTTATTGTATCTTTGCAAAAAGGATTATATGAACCGTTAAACGAGAAGAATATTTCATGGTGAAGAGAAAGGAAAAAAAGAAAAGTTGAAAAATATGGAAAATTCTTAAAGTTTGCTTTGCGATGAATCCGATGAGAAGGTTCGAATTCAACAATGCGAATGTTGGTGTAAAGCGAACTAACGTCAGGGCAAGCTTTGCGAATGAGATATCTTGGAATTCTCAATTTTCATTCAAGAGTCCAAGAGAAAGTCAGTTATTCTTCCGGTTGGCCTCCTCTTTCCCCGGCTATTACTCGCTTCGAGAGAAATATATTCTTCGTGTTCTTCCTGCCTTCACTCATCTCTAATTACGAATCAGAAACAAGCCAGTCTTCCGCCATTCTACCGTGTCCTTCGTTTCACTCTGGTTTGCCGCACTTTCACCCCATCCCTTAAAATTTCTTCGCTTCGCTACTTTTGTCTACTCTTCAACTCTTGGCTCTCTACTTTTCTCTCTGTCTCTCTTCTTATCAATTTTTCCCATTTCTTCTTTTTTTTATTTGAAAATATTTTTTTATCCTCTTTAACTTTTATTTTATTGCTTATTTTTTTAAATTATTCTTTTATTTTCTCCCAAATTAATATTCTTGTTTCTTTTTATTTTCTTCCAGGCTTCGCACTCATCTATACCCAAACCTACTATTTAATATTTTTTACGTTATACTACTATTTGGGTACTTTTGTTAGATTTCAGCCACTAAAAGCTACTATTTCTGTTTTTTTTTCTTTTGAGAATTTTCACTACATTAAATTCGCTAATACTAAAAATCAAAAAAGTATTCCAAAAAATTATAATCAAATTCTTTAATACAATTCAATTATTTTCAAAAAATTTTCGAAATTTAATTATTTTCAATATCTAGTATTTTAATAAAATTTCGCAAAACAATTCAATTATTATTCAATAAAAAATTGATAAAATTCATCCAAAATTCAATTATTTTCATAAATAATAAAATTTCCATAGGAATTCAATTACCCAGGCGCGAAGTGACGCCGAGTTCAGGCTTTATAAAGATTGGCCGAGCATTGGTCAACATTGATTGAGCATGAGTGAATCAGCGAGCGCAGGAATGATCGAAGCTTTAATGTAACACCGATTCCAGACTGCAGCGCGAGCCTTGATTCAGCATTGGACATCAATGCTCAATCAATGCTGCGGACGCCTAACGCAGGACTGAAACAAGACTGCTTCCACTGTTCCCAAATTTACTCGTTTCTCACGTTTATTCAATATAATGTAAATATATGAATTATTAATAATAATAATAAATATTATTGTTATTATTTTAATTCATGTGCGTATATATACATATATATTTAATGACAATAAGTTATTATTTGTAATAATTATATTATCTTCATATAAATAAGAATATATTACTAACAATAAATATCATTTGAATAGTAATTTTAAAAAAATAATTTTAGTAAAAAAAGACAATTTTTCTGTTAATCGTTACATTTTTTTCTTGATTTTTAACATACTTTTAACATTATTTATAAACATGTTCACATTTTTTATTCACGACACAACACACAATTTTATTTTTTTATATAAACGCTTATAACAAAGAATGAAAAATATTCGCTCGCATGTGGGATCGAAACTCACGCACCCCGCCCCCCTAACGCATACCGGAAGTTCTCAACGCACGCATTTAAACCGCTCGGCCACAGAAGGCTGGAAGGCTTCTCGCCTAATCTACTATATCAATGCCAGTGCCGTCACTCAATATTGGTTCAGCATGGGACACCAATGTTCGTCCCATGCTCGATTCAAGACTCGGTCAATCTTGTTACAATATTCAGTTCCTTTATTGCCGTGTGCACTGTACAATATTAAATATAAATATTTATAAATTATTTAATATTAAAATATTTCTTCTGATAATTTTATAAGTTAAATTATATATTATTATTTTTCTCGCACAGTGTCAAATTATTATTTTCAAAGTTCAAGAGTTTCGTTTATCTGTAAAATTTTCAGTGAAAAAAATGTTCATTAGGTAGTAGTAAATATTTATGCCTAGTAGTTTTACACTAGGATTAACTGTTTACTGAATATTATCAAAAATATATTTTTCGTCAAACGCGCGCGACTAAACACAAATAACCTTGAGACGTTGCGATTGTCGTGCTCCCACCATCCCATCTACTCAATACACTCCCCGCCTGTGACGTCATGAGGGGAAAGCATTGAGTAGATGGGATGGTGGGAGCACGACAATCGCAACGTCTCAAGGTTATTTGTGTTTAGTCGCGCGCGTTTGACGAAAAATATATTTTTGATAATATTCAGTAAACAGTTAAACCTAGTGTAAAACTACTAGGCATAAATATTTATTACTACCTAATGAACATTTTTTTCACTGAAAATTTTTCAGATAAACGAAACTCTTGAACTTTGAAAATAATAATTTGACATTGCAAGAAAAAAAATAATATATAATTTAATTTTATTTATATGAATCTTATATAATTAATATAAATATTATACACTAAATAAATATTAATATTTACTTACCAATTCATATCTTAATAACAATAATAATAATAATACTTATTATATTATTTAATAATAATTAATAATAAGAATAATAATTTTTAAATAGTATAAAAAATTACTAAAAAATATCACTAATAATATTTTAATATTAAATAATTTATAAATATTTATATCTAATATTGTTATAAGTGCACACGGTAATAAATAAACTATCAAGATTGATTCAAGCTTGAATAAAGACGGGATGTTGAAGCTCCACTTACGAAGATTGATCGAGTGTTAAATCGAGCATGGGACGAACATTGGTGTCCCATGCTGAACCAATATTGAGTGACAATGATATAAAGACTGCTTCAACTCTGGGTTACCCACGCTGGGCGTTCAAGACTCAGTCAAGTTTCAACCCATCGTCAGCACTGGTCTTTCGCGCCTGGGTATTTAACAAAATTTTTTTACAATTCTTCACTATAATTCAATTACTTTAACTAATATAATAACATTTTTCATGAAAATTCAATTCTTCAAAAAAAATTTTGATAAAACTCTATGCAAGAATTCAATTATTTTCACAAATAAAGTTTTCCACAAGAATTTATTATATTTCAAAAAAATTAATTATTTAAAACAAAGTTTATAAATTTCTCATAATGAATCCAATTATTTTCAAAAATAACAAAATTTTCCACAGAAATTTAATTCTTTTTAAACATTTTAATAAAATTTTTCGCAATAATTCAATTATTTTCATAAATAATAAAAGTCTTCTCAGAAATTCAATTATTTTTGAAAATTTTAATAAAATTCTTAGCCTCGTACTGCAAAATCAAGCTCGGACGAGAAACTTGCGCTTTGCGTCCTCGTTGCACAATGTACTATTTTAAATTCTTTGGAAGAATTCAATTATTTACAAAAATATTAGAATTTTTCACGCGGTAATTCAATTACTTTCAAATATTTTAATTTAAAATTGTTCGAAGGAAATCAATTATTTTAAATACAATTTTAATTAAATTTTTTTGAAATAATTCAATCATTCTTTTAGATTTTAATAAAATTTTTCTCAAGAATTCAATTAGATATATAAATAATTCTTCGAAAGAATTCAATTATGTCGATAAATAACAAAATTATTCCCGAAAATTCAATTATTTTGAGGAATTTTAATAAAATTCTTTGCAAAATTCAATTAGTTTCATAAGTAACAATAGTCATCACAAGAATTCAATTATTTTTAAACGTAATAAATTTCTTCTTGGAAATTCAATTATTTAAAAAAAATCTAATAAAATTGTTCTTAGGAATTAAATTATTTTCATAAATAATAAAATGCTTTTTA